ACTTGTTTCAAGATAGCTTTCCCAATCCTGGAGAGCAGAGAACAGAAGTCTTCGGTTTCAGATGTATCGAGCTAGCTTCAGAATGGTTAAGCTAATATGACAAGACTCAGTGAAACTTTGACAGTATTTGTCTTTAACATGTTTTTCCAATGTGAAATAATAGGACAGGAGAAACTATAAGTGATTAAGTAGAATTTTAATAAGTAGCAACACATTGGACAATTTCTCTTAATTAGCTAGGTAATAATTACCTAACTTTTTGCTGATTCTTTTTTCTCCCCTTTTATCTAGTTTGGACTATTTTATGTCTCTACAGTATACAGGATATTCAGGGAAAGAAATAAACCTATTCCTATCTACTTTTTACCTGTTACTGTCCCCGACTACTTGTAAAGTTACTCACAAATCTCATCAAAGCTGCCTTGTTTTATATAAAAATAGTAATAAAATATTATTGAAGTTTATTGAAAAATGATTTCATTTTATTTATATATGTATTTTACTTTTCATTCACTATACTAGTTTCGTAGAAATCAAATAACTGATTTACCTACTCCCCCTTGTGGTAAATAATTTAGTTTTGACTAAAATGTTTTTATTTACTGTTATAAACTCTTGATGTTAGTTTACCAAGGAGAACAGAGATTTGGACAGTCCAGAATAGATTTTAAAAATCATTTAGATGGAGCTTTGTAAAAATTAGGAGGATTTGGTTAGTGATTGCATGTTAGGATTACCTGCAGAGCCTGGTCAACAACCCCTAGAGATTTTTGTCTCACCTGTCTACAGTGGGGCCTAAACATCTACAGTTTAAATCGACTTCAGTTTACTCTAGTTTGTAATTTAGTCTACTTTTAAAGTGAAATTTAATTGGAAGATTCTCAGAGTATTCTAATATGCAGTTAAGATTGAGAACCAGTTACATAGTTATGATCTTGCTTCTGCAAGTAACCAATTGTACATATAAGGAAAGGTCACATAATTTATAATAAAAGTTTGTACACATATTTTACTTTGTAGTATGTGAAGCACTTTTACATAATTACAAGATTAAAAAATGGTCTTCAAACAGTAAGTGACTAGTCTCAGATTATACAATTGTTAAGAGGAGGAACCAGGATTGAAACTAAGACATCCGACCTTAAATCCACTTATTTTTCTCAGTACAACACAGTTTTTAGATCTCAGAGTCTTTAATTGAAATAATGGATCTTAAATTGGTTTATCTTTGTTTTTTTAATGTGGTAAAAACAGGTAACAGATATTTGCCAATTCAAAATTAGCTGATTTTTGCAGCTCTTTCAGTTATGTATTATAAAATACCTTTTGTCTGTGTCTGCGTTCTATAAATTAGCTTTACACAAAATACTGAAGATGCAGAGAGCTTCTTTCAAAGGTAGTGTGAAGCTTTCAGGTTTCCCTGACCTGCCTTAGGAGGCTTTCACACATCACTCTCAAAGAGCCTTCTCAGGAGGCTTCAGAGCAAGGAGTGGGGCTCAAGTGCTGGGTGTCACATGGGGTCAGCATCAGTGTAAATAAGCAGTAGAGCTATTGCATGTATACTTGATTTGTAAACCTAATAATTACTGGCCTTTATAAGTTTGACTAACTGGTGGGTGATAAATGAGCTAGATTGTAGATCTGATTACTACAAAAGAAAAACAGCTTCTAGACTTTATTTTATTGGAAGTTCGTTGTATTTGTTATTACTCTAAATAAAGGGGCTTTTGCCTGCCTTTAAAATCGTTTCTAGTATTGCATAGTATGCCTAGATTTTTTGCAGTAACTATTTGTTTTAATAAACGTTGACTTCTGTGCATGTGGTCAACTGTTAATACTTTTTCTTTGTCATTTAAATATGTATTATAAAAATTAAGCCGATAGTATTTTATAGAAAAATCTCTTCATTTACATGGTAAATACAAAATAACATTGGAATCCATTGGTTAAACAGTCAGGTTTATGCTTCATCTGGCCTGTTAACATCTTCTTCAGATACTGTTTAATTTTTTTTCCACTGATGACTTGTACCTTTCTATTAGAATTATTTTATATTACAGATTTATGTATTTGAAAATATTATGCTTTCATTATTTTTCATTTCTCTGTCTAGCCAAGTATTTTTTGATTGAAAAAAGTTATACATGCTTATGGTTAAAACACATTAGACAAGAGTTTGTTGATGAAAATGACTCCTTCCCATCGCAGAACTCTCAGTCTTCTTCCACAGAAGCAGCAATGCCTGCCTTTTCAGTTTTCTGTGCTTTATTTTCCTGTTATTCTCTTTAGTACAGATATCAAATATGAGTTGTAAAAATAATTGCACTACATTTTTATCATTCACTTGATGTGTTCTAGTATATAACATTCTAAATGAGATATTGGTGATGCCTTTTATTAATGCATTTCTCAAATTTTCATTATTAATTACTGTAATATTCAAATTATTAAGCAATGATAATTAAAGATCTGTATTCATGTTTAAACTTGTAATGATTCCATCCATTAAAAAAAATCATAAATGGTATCTTATCTTGCCCTAAATATTAGTACATAGTATTATTCTGTATTTGAGTTTATCATACTATTTGTAAAACAAATCCTTTATATGTTTAATGAAATTGTATTTTGTATCTTTCATAATCATCTTATGTCCAGTTACGTTATGTGAAAAACATGAAATTTAACAAACGTCCAGCCTCAATTTTAAAAGTTGCCACTTTGCTTTTAGACAATAAACAGGAAGCAAGTAAAGGAAAAAGAAACTAGTGGTGTCTTTAACTGAAGCACAGCCTACCTAGTCTCTTTGGATGTAGAACTCTGAAATCCAGACTCCCTCAGTGAATAAGGCAGCTTCAAGTGTTGAACAGAAGTCTTATTTTCCAGGTTCTTAATGCCTTTATTATTGTGCTTGTGCATTTGGTCTTATAGGAAACTTAAAATGCTAGCAATAGTGACCCTTGTTATTGATCTCTTATCTGTGTAGCCCTAGTTTTCTTTTCTCATAAAAATGTTTGATTAGTATAACTATATTCTTAATGGATAACAAAAATATAAAAAAATCTCTGTTTTACATTCAGTAGAATATCTTAAAAGGATTAAAGAGAAATTAGACTCATTTCATAGAACAATATTTTTCTCAATTTGTACATAATGTTAAGTAGTTGTAGTCTAATTTGAATTTTTTAAATGAAAACTATTCAATTTTTCCTAACATTCTTTATGTTGACCCTTATGGAAATTCAAGTTCTCAAAATATTCAGATTGAACACTAAATTAAAAACTGACATCGCTCTGCATGCTTCTCTGTTTTTTCCACTTTTATTTACTTTTTTAAAAAAGAAAATGTTTCAGTTGTACTCAATTATCTATGTTAAATAATAAACGATTATGAGAGGCCTTAAGTGATATTGGGCAGATGTCCCAGTATTCAGGTACAGGTTAACTGTTCAAGAGTAAGGAAACGAGAAATGAGAAGCAGAATATTTTGAGGATTGCATCAGTCAGATCAATTTATTTTTAAAAAGTATGAAAACATTACAAAGGAAATTGATTCTGTCTGTTTTGGTTTAATGAAACCAGAACCTTTTTATTTACCCTTTCTACCTGAATACATTTTTCAGGGAGAATCAGACAGTTTTTTGAGGGAATACCAATAGAATAGAACGGCACAAGTATGGCAGAATAAAGCATTGTCTTTAGCTGAATTTGGAGCCCTGGTGACGTAGTGGTTAAGAGTTCAGCTGCTAACCAAAAGATGGGCAGTGTGAATTCACCAGCCGCTCCTTGGAAACCGTATGGGGGCAGTTCTACTCTGTCCTGTGGGGTCTCTATGAGTTGGAATCAACTCGATGGCAATAGATTTGTTTTTTTTTTTTTTTTTTTTTTTAAAGCTGGTTTGGCTTGAAGGCAGTATCTGATCATTTTGATTTAGTTTTTATAATTTGAGTATCTCCTAGATCACAAAACATTTTTTATGTGCTGTTTGAACATTCAGGCATGTTCATTTATGATTATGTGATTTTTTGTTGTTTCAAAATGTTTGGTTAGAAGTCAATAGAAACAACTCCAATGTACATTGTATATTTAATGACATTGAGTAGAGACCAGATCCAGTTAGTTTCTAAAGATACGAAAAGTAATTCATACACACTCAGTTTCGTAAGAGAGCAGTGTCAGTAAAACAAAAGTGTAGCATAAATGTCGAGTGAGGAAAAACTGATTGGCTGAATTTCAGAAGTTCCAACAGGAGCTAGTATAACTAGATGAGATTGTGTGTTTCATGTGGGGCAGGTGGCTGGCAGTAGTGTGCAATAAATAGCTTTGGGAAATGGTCAGTGAGCTGGTGCCAGGGTGGGGAAACCAGCTATCCCAAGATCATCTCCTGGGGTAGAGAAAGCTTTCCCTGATTCTGGACCATGTGCAAGAAGAACTGCCACGTTAGAAATGCGAAATTAACTGGAACCCAGAATACAGTCAGCCTGGCAGAGAGTGCCGGCTTGCAGACTGCTAGACAGGGAGCTTCCAAAAGACAAAGAGTGTCGTCTTGGTGCTAGACAAATTTACTATTTATTGGGGGGGTGGGTGGAGGTGTGCGACCTTTATGTAACCTATGTAAGTCTGTGATTTCAGGCACTTTAGAATTACTGAATTTTAACCTAATGATAAGTGAGAATATATTGGTAAAGAATGTAAAATTCACACAGAAGTATGATTATTGTTCCCTTGACAGTAGAGTCCTGCCTGATAAGCTACTCCTTTGAGAGAACTCTGCAGGTGTCAACCTTCTGCACAGTAGTCTTTGATAGGAAATTCAGTGGAACTTTTCTTTTTTAAAAGCAATGTAAATAGTAAGATTTCCATTCAGCTTCAGTTAGGTGTTCGAATATTTCAAACCCTCCTTAAGTGGTCCTATGGTAGATGAAATGAGCAGAAATTGAAAGAGCTCTGTAAGGGCACATTATTAATATTTTATAAAAATGCTGCTGCTACGATTGCAGGTCCTTTTGGAATAAATCATGGGATTGAGCTTCATTCAGATGTGGTGGAATATGCCAAGGAAAAGCTGGAGAGCTTCATCAGAAATAGTGATAGCTTTGATAAGTAAGTATTCACATCTGTAGTTTTGGTTGAAAGCACTTGATTAGTGATATGTGTAACACCTGTTTCTCAACACTATTACTTTATTATTGACCCTGAGTTGCTAATTTGAACACAGCAAAAATTAATGTGTTATACGCGTTAAAGAAAAAAGGTTAGGAAAATGATTCTGTATTATAATTTTTGTTATTTGTAAATTTATACAGTAAATTATAAGTAAAATAACCTTTATAATTTTATGTTATTGTCACTTTATTAGTAAAGTAAGGCTCGTTCATTAAACATCGTACAGGTTTTTTTTTTTTAATTTTTTTTTTCTGGAGATACAACTGGTAAAGATTTTTGTGATTAGAATATTTTTCTGGAACTAGTTTTATACTTTTGGGTTAGTAATTTAATAGCTTTTCCCTCTTTGTAATATAAGAGCGACACGTTAGCATGAGAAGGACTTTTTAAAAAAAACATTGTTACTTTGTAATATACCCAAATAAAATTAACATAGAAATACATTGATCTATCTTGTGATAGGATTGTGTTTGATAACTCTTTTTATAAATCCATTGCTTTAAAATTAGAATCTGCTTTCCCTTGGAAAAAATACTGCACGGGGTTTGATCCTTGTGCTGGCAGGGAAAATCTATTTAGTGCATAATGTTACTAAAATTCAGTATTTGATAGTACTGTGAGCAGGGGCTCTTTGGCCAAAATCCATGTACCCCATGAAATTATGTAAAATTTGGAGGATTACAGCTCTCATTTTTCTGTACAACTGTCATATTTTCAAAGGGAGAAAGCCTTAGCAAGGCTAGGAGTCACAGGTTTAGAACGTAATCACTTTACGTAACAAAGTTTTAGTGCAAAACACATTCAGACTTCCAATTTGGCTTGCTGGGAGTGGGCCCTCAATCTTCTGCAGGCCCTGGCCATGGACCCTCAAGGTGAGACCCTGGGGGCAGTTGGAATCAGAGCTGAGGGTTTCCTCTGGAGAGAGTAGCACCAAGACAGAGAAGCTAAGAAGGCCCTGTTAATGTCTGTGGGCACATATTTTCCTTTCTCCTTCCCTTTCTTTGCCCATCCTCTCCCTCTTTTCTCCCTTTCAATCTTTGCCATTGCCAGTTCTCTTGCAAACTGACACTTGAATGGTTGTAGAACAGAATACTAGCGTGCTGCTGGGAAAGAGGAGGCAGCCACGGCCCCAGTGCTATAGGGAGAAGGGAAGGTCTCCTGTCTACCTAGGTAGTTTTGTAATTGGTTTATGAAGGACCACCGTGGATTTGAGCAAGTCACTTGAATTTTCTGCATCAATTTGCTGAATGCCTACCATTATCTTATATACTTTTCTTTAGAAAAACATAACATATAATTCAGATTTTGTAGCATTTTTCAAGTGCTTACCGTGTTGGCTCATGTTATATTTCCAGTAATAACATGTTGTTTGTTACACATAAAATAGTTTTTAGCCCAAATTATTAATAAAAAATTTGAGATTCAGTGTTTACATCCTTTTATGTCTGTTGTTTCTCTCTTGTCTTGTGATTTGTAGTATGGTGAGTACTTAAAATATGGACATGGGTATTTCTTATATAGTTTACTGGAACAATAGAGTTTTGTTGAATTTATTGAATTGCTTGTAAGTGTTTTGATGTTGAAACTTAATGTACACATAGAGATCTTCTGAATACTTAAATTTAGGAAATGTAAAAGTAATACTAGTAAAAGCAGATGTTTAGGGTCTATTGTAAGATCTATTATATATTAGGTATTAACACATTTAATGTTATAATTCCCTGAAAACACACAAAATGCAGTTTGAGTCATTAACTTGGACAGCACAAACTCAAAGAAGCATCTTGACTCGCTGAAGTATCTATATGTCATTATTTAAGGCATTGCTGTATTGATATAAATATTAAACAGTTCATAAAACAAATCAGTTTGAATTCTATATGTATTTGTCTCACTTTTAAAAATTTTTCTAAGTTTGTTTACATGTAATTGTAAAATGATCGAAATTTCTTGCATTTCTTGAGTTTTCTTTTGTTATTAATGTTTTATTCAGGTTTGTTATTCATGAAATGATGGATCATAAATTATACTGATATGACTGATCTAAATATAATTTTAATAGTCTTGTTATTTTAATAATCTTACAGTAATCAGACTTTATAATATAGTTGTTACTGAAGTTTATAACTTATTTTTGAAACAGATTCTTATATTAATAAACTAGTCTGAAAAAATTAGTTCTAGAAATTTATTCTAGTTTTCAAGTAATGTCCAGAAATATTACTGTTAGTATGTTTCAGATTATAAAATAGCTTGCCCACAAGAGTAGTAGGTACTGGGGAAATGGTTTTTTTGCATAAAGTAGTGAATGCTTGTAAGTTTAGTAATCAGAGTTGACAACAGGTCATGCAGTGGTTCTTTTCTGGTCTTTTTATATCATTTGGTTTTGTGGTAGAAATTAGGCAGATACAGTGTTTCTCTTCCTAGCCAACTTGTGTTTTCATGATTTCTTTGCAATTTTTCTTGATGCTTTGCAGTTTTTCTTGATGCTTTTTTTTCTACTTAGATTCAGTTTTCTTAAGTGAATTAAGAGAAAAACTGGCAAATGGTGGGCAAAGTGATTTTTAAATCCCATTTCCCAGCCATTTCATTATATTTAATTGTGTATGACTCAGTAAAATACATATTTTAATTAACAAAATATTAATAACTCGGGAAAATTAATTGCTGTTCATGTATTCCTTGACGCCAGGTTATCCTTGATTATGTGTAACATGGAGACAAATAGTTAAAACCTGATAGATACGCCTCAAAACTTATTTATCATATTGGTTTGGATCTTTGTTTTAATCAGGCCTTTTTTCAAAAGTATTGTTATATCATTTATGATTTGAACTGCATATTTGAAATTTTCTTACATAAATCTATTGAAGATCATAGTGAACTCCGAAATAAGACTAAGAAAACAAACAAAAACCCTTGTTGCCATCAAGTTGATTCTGACTCATACTGACCCTATAGGACAGAGTAAAACTGTACCATAGGATTTCCAAGGAGTGGCTAGTGGATTCAAACTGCCAACCTTTTGGTTAGTAGTTGTAGGTCTTAACCACTTCGCCACCAGGGCTCCCCCAAATAAGGCAGTAGGTGGGAAAAATTAATAAACTAATCAATATCTGAATATATAATGTAAGATGACCTTTTAAACAATACAAATGTGTGGTTTTGTATGTGTATAAAACATGGGTCCTGAGTCTTGAAATTAGTGTTTCTTTTTTAGAAAGTATCCTTATTATAATGCACATATTTTTAAACTTTCTATATTATAGTCCTGTACCAGTAAATGAAATAATTTGGAGAGACTACACTGAATTTACTGCATTTGGAGATAGGAGGGAAGGGGATGCCCTAATGTTTGCTTTACTGCCTTGATATCTGTGGTATTCCCAAATCATAGTGAAATTGCCTTTTAAAACTGATAGCTGATTTCATGGGCCCTCTAAAACATTGTCAGACTTTTTCCATAAAGGGCCAGATTGTAAATATTTTTTGTAAGTTAAATGGTCTCTGTCACAACACTCTACTCTCATAGTGTGAAAGCAGCCACAGACGATACATAAATGAATGGGCATGGTGTGGTCCAATAGAGCTTTATTTACAAAAGCAGGTGGCGAGCTGGACTTGGCCCATGGGCCATAGTTTGCTGACCTCTGTTCTGCTCTTCACAAAAGCTCTCCAAAATATCTTTATTTTAGGCCACTCTGATCCAGACAGGAGATTGGAAAAGGTCAAATTGTATGAATCAGTATTTGTGCATGTTCAGTAAGCAAAAGAATCTCTCAAGCTAATTTGGAAGAGGGTGTCAATTAAAGGAGCCTGTATTGTAAACTTTTTCCTGTAAATACCCTGAAAATGAGTCAGTAATTAATATAGCATTTATTTATAGCTATATTTATGTATTTATTCAATATATATACACATATGTAGTTGACTTAGCCCTGTAGGATGCATGCTTTGGAGTGTGTCATTTCAGAGAAAGGAATTCCTAGATCTGGCAGTGATTTTGGAAATGTTCTGTTATCGATAGCCTAATGAGTGCTGTGTAATCTGATTTATTGGGGATTTTCTTTCTACATGAATGGAGTGTCATTGTTTCTGTATAGTTTCTGTATAGTCTGTCATATAGATGGGTCATGATATAAGTGAGGAAAACATCAATGAGAGGATAAAAAATATTAGTACCTAATATGTATTATCTATTCAGTGAGTACCATGTACCGTTTTATGTGTTTTATCCACAGCCCTAGAGGTGATATTGGTGTCCACATTTCCTAGTGTGAAAATTGAGGGTTAGAGAGAGAGATCGTAACCTGAGCTGGCTAGTCTTTTTACTTGGGTCTGATTTGGCTATGATGATGGACACATTGATTTATTCTAATATTTCTTCCCATAGAAGTAAGCTACAAGTGAATTTCAACCTGGCACCTTAGCTCCAGATATGAAAGTTGAAGCAGCACTTTTATGTTTATAATTTATTTCCTTCAGGTTGTAGTTAAGGAGTGCTGTCACAGTGGTTAAGGGCAATATAGCATTTTTATTTGAAGAGTGCTCCTACCCTGTTCTTTAAAGAGACTTACCTGACATGAATTATTGCTGGGGCAGGGGTGGGTGGAAGAGACAATGCATTCCTCTAATTTAGTTTCAAATTAAATTCAGAGTTAAAATAGTTTTTTGTATTTTAGAAGATTTTATTGATTTATGGCAATGTCTGGTTTCCTTGTTTAAAAAAAAATTGGTTTATTATTTTCCACATGTGATTCTTTTCCACTGGAAAAATTAAATGTCAACTTTATAAGTAGAGTAGCCCTGCTGCATCTTTAAGAAAATTATGGTATAATTGTTTTGCATATATAGTTTTGCTGTATGTAATTCATTATATATTGAACATTATTGAAAAATATGTGTCAAATATTTGAACATTATAATACAGTAATAATGTTCAGAAGGTAGTGTTATAACAATTTTCACAGGCTGTAAACACATTTTTTACTCATTGCAAGTATTCAGGTGTTGGGACTGAAATCTTCAGAAATAGTCATGGGGAAAAGTTTGATGGTTTCAGGTACATTTTTAGAAGAAATTATTGTTGAAATACATGAAGGCTCACTTCTTTTATATGACTTTCTATCACATTTCCTATGAAAATGTTTAGAGATTTTTTTTGGGAAGGGGTCCTAAGGATTTCTTCTAAATCTTCATTCAATGAAAAACCAATGTATTTACTCTTAACACTTTGCTTTGAATAGCGTTTGACTTATTTTTAGATGAGTTTGGTTGCAGTTGGAAGGGAAAACACTTGAAAAGGTAAAGTCTTTTTTTATTGTTTTAATTCAATAGCTTAATTATTGGTTATAAGAGTTTGAAAGGTATAAGTACATTTGGTGGTTAAGAGATCTCCAACTCATTTCCCTTTATTCTCTTCCCTAAGGAAAGTTCTAAAGTTCTGTCTTGTTTTAACAAAGGTCATAGCTCTTAAAACTCACAATGCATATTATGACACAATGTTTTAAGAAAAAGAAATTTCTGTGATTCATTTGGCGGGTTGTTTTGGATGAGGTATGAGAACCAGGTGGGATTCTTCCCCATGTCCTTGAAAGTCCTTTATTCCATTGGAATAAATGTTCAAAATTTCAATGACAGCATCCTGTGGCACATGATTAACTAGGTTTACAAATTATCAGCCCCCACTTCCACAGTGTATTGAAGGGGAATGTTGTTTTTTCTACTCTCAGTCAGCTCCTAGACCTAGACTATCCGTCTAAGAGGGAAGCTGCAGGGCAAGGCTAGGTCACCCTGATCTCCTAGCAGCTTATCAAAAGAATTATATGGGCAAGTTGGCAAGGTCCCTGCTGTGAACGAAGGCATCTGTCCACCTCAAGATGAAGATACTCCAGCATGCATCTTTAAAGATCCACTGTTAAGGTAAGTGATTAGAATCCTGATGTTATGTTGGGCAAATGTTCATGGTTCTAAACCTAGATATGTGTGTGTGTGTGTGTGTGTGAATTTTTCCATAAATGATTTCCGATGTACACTTTAGTAAAAGTATGTGAAATATTTCTCCTTTCTACGTAAGAGAAAGTCTAAAAATCAGCCATTAGATTTTCAGGCTTAAATCAGTAGATGATTGTAAACCTAAAGTGAGTGAATTTTGTGGTTATTACCTACACTTTAAGAGTTTTCAGTTTCTTTTCTTCTGTATGTAGATAACATATTGTCATTTAGGAGTGTGAGTTATCTCTGTCTGGAAAGTTTTGTTTTCGAAATTTTCTTCCAAGAGTAAGAATGATTGCTACTTTTAATTTTACTTACAGACATAAAATTTTAATGAACGCTCCTAAATCACTTTTAAAAACTGAAGAAAGAATATGTGAATCAAACTTTTACAAGTATAATTAAAACCACATATGAAGTGTCATTTTGGTAGACTTCTTGCCAGTTTTTCTGCTTGGGTTTCATTTAGTGGGTGGTTAATGTGAACAGGTGGAACTCAGATTTTCTCTTTCACTATTTTTAACCTGATTTATATGTGTAAATCTGTAAATAGTGTAGTACTACTTTGTAGTAAACTGAGAACTTCTGGTTAGTTTATTTCTACAGTCTTCCATCTTGCATAGAAATTGCATTTGTGGTTTAAAATATGTTCTTTGTCTGTAGAGGTTTGTGGAAACTTAGGTACAGAGAGTCATAGCCTAACGAAGAAAGTGTTTTCTTTGTTTACTTCTCTGCCTCAGAGGAATTAAGAGAAGTTGTAATTTACTCTGCTTAATAACATGGTGGCCACCATCTCTGTAAGATCAGTCATTTAGTTATTCATACATATAAATGAACACATCCATAAACATTTACCATAAAAATTTTAATCATAGACTTTTTCAAAAAATATAAGCAGTGAAATTTTGGTCATTCGATATCCTGATTGGTATGAATTTATATATATCAAAAGCTGTTATAAAAGTACAACATTATTTTAGTATCAGAATACAAAATGTGTAAGATTTTCAACTATGCACCTCATCAGAAATACAGCTATGTACCTCTGTAAGTACTTTATTAGAAGAGATAATCCATAACTCATATATATATATGAATTAAAATTGCTACATTATGAAATTTCAGAATTTTTTTTTAAAGTAATTGTTATGAGTTCATATATTATTGATTGAGAAGGCCAAACCGTAGTTAAAAGTATAATAATTCCCAGATGGGATACTATCTCTGATAGACTTTTTTTTTTAATAACTACTAAATTAGTACTTATAATTTTTTGTGAAGTGTTTGGCATATAGATTCTCTACTATGTTCTAGATGTTTTAGAGTCAACATTGAAAAATATTATAGTCTTTCCCCAATTTTATTTATTTTTGCTATTTTCATATCTAGAAATAATCCAGTCGTTGTGGAATATTGTCTTCTAAATTCAGTCTTTCAAATTTGAATATTCTGGTAAAGGAAGTTAAACATGTAAAATAAAAGTGTAAAGACTATGTGTTTATTAGAAGTGTATTTTCCATTTGCACTAGTAGAAATTATGAATTTACAGATCTGATTTTTCTCTACAATCCTTTGTAACACTCCATAGGTAGAAGCCCCTTCAGAAGGGTAATCATTGACGATGTTTTCTCAACTATGTATGAATAAGGGTAGTTTATTTAAAGTTTTAAGATAGGCAAAAAAGAAAAAAAAAAAGTGCCTTTTATTTAAAGGGAAAGGGCTTATGTTTTTGTTTTTTTGGCATGCTGAAAAAAAGAAAATCCTCTATTCTATAACTTGAAGCCAAGTTAGTGTAGTAATCAACTTAGTAAAACATGAACCATCATGTTAATGTAGGGATTTCTATAAGCATGTGCTTTTTTTGTAACTATTTCTATGCAGATTTTTCTTCTAGCCCTGAGATTTTGTCATTAACATATTTGTCAAATTTGGGTTCATCTTCAAAATTGGTAGATAAGGCGTTTTGGTTTCTTACATGGTTCACTTACTTAGTAAATGTATTTTGAGGACCATAATAGATGATGGAGATACAGTTAAAATTCAGAAGAAATAGTCTAAGAGATAGCAGGAAAGCCAGGAGGATGTTTCAAAGGAAAGTGTGTGTTTTTTAAGGAGAATGTATTTGAAGCTCCTATTTACCTGTAATAAATAGTTGTTTAATATTTTCAGTTTATGTGGCTGTTCAACCAAAAAACTCTTTCATATAAAAATATTTTAAAAAATTGAGATATTTTACATTCTGTTTTTTGTTTTTGTTGTTACTAGGTTTTTGAAGTCCCATGTGAATTGTATACTTGTAGCACATCTCAGTTTGAAGTGGCCACATTTCAAGCACTCAAGTATCCACATGTGGCTAGTGTTTACCATATTGTCTAGTGTAGCTCTAGATTGCTCTTGTCTCACCTTTCAGATCACAGCTTATTCCTCAGTGAACCTTTCTCTGACCTCCCGAGTCTGTTTCCTTTCATCCTCAACCTTACAGGATCTCGTTCATTTCGTTTAGACATTTCTCACAGTTGTAAATTATACTTTAATTAGTAGGATTGTTTGATGCTTTCTTTGTAGGCTCCATGAGCACTCCCGATTGTGTTCCCAGTATTTATATGCAGTTTTTGCTCAGTAAATACTTTTTGATTGAATGAACTGTGCTAATTACTGGCATAAGGTAATCAGGCACTAAATTTTTTCTAATTAATTTGCTGGGTATGAGAGTATGTGAAGGAAGTATCACTAATATGAGAAGTGTAAGTTTAAATTTTAAGTTGCTTTTCTGTAATAGTGTTTTCCTAGGTAATGTTCTGTAAGCTGTCTTGTATTTTTAACTAGTAGGAAGCTTTTCAAGCTATAAGTACACTTCAGAGTTGATTTAACAGACTTAATGATAAAAGGAGCCCTGGTGGCACAACCATTAAGTGCTCAGCTGTTAACTGAAAGGTTGGTGGTATAATCCCACCCAGTGTCTCCTGGGGAGAAAGATCTGGTGATCTGCTCCTGTAAAGATTACAGCCTAGAAAACCCTATGGGGCAGTTCTGCACTGTCACATGGGGTCACTGTGAGTCAAAATCGACTTGATGGCATCAACAACAATGATAAAAGAGGTTTAATAATTCAAAACTCTTTGATTATTTAAATTTGCTTCTCATATTCATCCTGAAGATTATAAGAATGACTTAAATTATTATAAAATTAAATTATTAAAAATGAATTTTTATAAGAAGACTTTTAGGGAGACTTTATTGGAAATAGTAGTCTAACTTCTCAGTTTTAAGGGATACTTACTATAACTTTGATAAAAATGATTAAACCATAGTATCTGATGCTTAAAAGCCAAGACATTTTATTTTGGTGATATTTTAGACAATCAGATTTTGCTGTACTCTTGAGCATAAAAGAGAAGTAAAGCATGGTCCCTAACCTTGGTAAGTTTTGTGTGTGCTTTGCAAATAGAAAGAATGAGATACTGTGACAGAGTTGGGAAAGACTTCATTGGGAAGCTAATATTCGAACTGTATCTTGAAGGCTAGTAGGCATTTATTCAGGGAAGAAGAGAAGAGTATTTCAGTCAGGGGGACAGTGCCTACAGAGAGGGTTTCAGTACAGTTTGTGATAATGCCGCTTTCCTCTGGCTCCAGCATGGCGTGTGCTGTGGGTAACAATCCTGGGTAATGAGTGTGGAAGGTCAACTTGGTGGAGAAGTGTAATGAGCCCACCTGGCACTGAAAGGAGTTTGAGTGTACCCTATTTACGGTAGGGAGCATACATGTGGACGAGACCTGAAAACTGTGAGCATGAGGAGGTGGTTAGTAAGAGAAATCAGAGGCCGTGGACCACCTTAGTGCAAGGGTGTGGAGACTCAAGCACAGGGCATATACTGCTAAACCCACCCTGCCATGACCTCGTCGAGGTGAGGGGAAATTGAGGATAGGGCATAATTCTGGTAAACTAAGTGTTCATAATATGTCTGTGTTTCAGTGAATTTTAATGGAAACTCCTATTAATTACCAAGGAATAGGACATATTTTACAAAGTAAAAATGATTGCAATTCAAATAAATGTCATTTTTCACTGCATGCCAGAGCTTTTAATGTGAATTATGTTATCCTTAGATGATAGCCTGATAATTGCTGTATGATCATATTAACTTTAATCAACTAAAAAGTGAAAAGATATTATAGGAATTAATTTTAAAAGATTACGTTTCATTATTGCATTGGAGTTTTAATCAGAAGTATGTATTATAGGTTGCTTTTAGTTTTCTTTATCAGCAGTTTATAAAGTAGAAGTCTAAATAGAATTTAATAAAGTAGAAGTCTAAATCAGGTAGTTTGTAAAAGCATAACTATATACCATGAACCAACACTGTAACCACAAAGGAGTGGCCTGGCTAAAATACCTTTCCTTTGAAAGCACATCTCTTCTCTTGTTGCTTAGGAGAGATCACAGAGGCCAAAGCAGCAGTAAGAAAAGACACTGTTCATTCTGGTCTCTGTCCCAATCCTGTAAATTCCTCAGCCAAAATTTGTTAGGAAAATGTTCCTAATTTTAGTGGTTGCAAGGGAATGTAGATCAGGACACTGGTCCCTCCCTCTGGTGATAAAGCTCCGCCAACTTATCCTCAACAACAGTGTAGCACCCAGATGAGTACTGCACACGCCCTGACCATTTCCAGTAGCCCCTCACCTTTTTTTGGAAAGGACAATGGAAAGTGATTTTTTTCTTAATTTGTTTTACCTTTGCAATTCTCATTATTATCATATATCATTTGCTGGGCATCACAAGATTGGTGTTGTAATGGGATTTTCATTATATTCATTTTTTTAAGGCATAAGTGAGGCTTCAGTGTGGCCAAAAATGGGTTAATGTTTTTAAAACATAATAATAAAACAGTGCATTTGACCAGTGTTAAACTCCATGTTTTATAATGATATTTTATCCTTATAATTTATTTTGGTAACTTCATTATTTCAAAGAACTGGCTTGTATTAATTTTTTCAGATGTAATCTTTTGTTTAAATTAATTAAAATACATTTGTTTTTCCATGCAGATTTGAGTTCTGTGAACCTGCATTTGTGGTTGGCAATTGCCTCCAGATAGCCTCTGACAGTCATCAGTATGATCGAATTTATTGTGGAGCTGGAGTGCAAAAAGACCACGAAAACTACATGAAAATATTGCTAAAAGTTGGAGGCATTCTAGTCATGCCTATAGAGGATCAGGTAACTTTCACTGTCCTTTTGCTTATGGCATAGGAAGCAAACACATTAGTCTTTAACTCTTACTACTTTTCTTTAATATGTTTGTTTCATGTAATAAATGTTAAACACCATGCCAGGTGTTCAGCACACCGTGGATCTAAAAAGTATACTAAAGTTCGAGTGAAGGGGATAGACATTCATCATATAATCACATAATGTATATGAATTATTATTTATTATTGTAAATACCTTTCCCCCCCACGCACACTAATAACACAGGAACCCCAGCGAGCCTGGCTCAAGAAAGGACCCCTGATGAGGTACAGCCAGGGTGAGTTCCATGCTCCATAGGCTGGCGGGATGGAAGCAGATAATGATGGGAGAGGAAAGAGCCCAGGTTGAGGGCCTATAGCCCTAATCATTTTGAGAAGGTACATTGGTGAGCACAAGCTTCCTTTTGTTGTTTCACTACTAGCAGATTTTGTTAAGAGGAAGGGAAAGTGAAATTTTGGAATCTAGCAGTATTGAAACAGATGAAAACCAGACATCTGAAGATTGTAACTGTAGGACTTACAGGTGAAAATTTTACAGCACTTGGTTGTCTGTTAGAAACTTAAATTATTTTCCTCTTAGCCTTTGCAGAAGATATTTAGTAACATATCAACACTTTGCTTGATAAAAAAGATGCTTAGGGTTCTATTTTCCTAAAATAATTTACTATTAAAAAGTAGCCTTCAAAGCAGTTATTTTTCAATTTTATTTCCCTGAGCCCCTCAATCCTTTCTGTATCACAGCCCCTGAACCATATTAGGAATGATGAGGATTTTCACATCATTTTGAAGTGATAATGCTATAATTGTCACTTGGGTTTGATTTTTACCTTTTTTATTTTTGGTTAAGATTGGAAGAATACTATGTCAGTGAAAAGTACGTTGTAGTTTTTAAAGAAGAAATGCTCTTTCTGTCTGTATGGAAAACTTGAAATACATGCGTAATTATTTATCCAAAGCATATATTAAAGAGACCCCTGTGATGTGATTGGAGGAGACTTAGGCTTCTGACAAAGCTTAGCTGTCCCTTGTGGCTTGGATCAGCAACTCCTCCTCCAGTTTCTCCACCTAGAAGGTATTGGGTAGAATGCCATGATCTCTTTAACAGTTGCTCAGTTTCCAACATTCTTCAGCCCTTTAAATGTATCGAAAGAAATTTCACGTATGGTTTGGTTTGAACTGCTTAACTCCATTAAAAAAAAAAAAAAAGAGTATTTACATCTTCATTTAATTAAAAAAAATTACATAGACTCACTTGAAAATATGTTTAGGCATTTATCAGCATTATTAAATTTATTTTTCTTGCATGCTTTTATTTTGAAATTATTAGACCTAATAAATGTATGAAACACTAATTTATTCAGAAAATGGGTGGACCTTTTAAAAGCAAATGACTTCAAAAATGTTTAAAAATGTATTTCAAAGAAATAAGATCTTTAGTAATCACAGTAATCTAAATCTGAGATGTTTGAAACACTTTTTGATTTGTAAGTTAAAAGATACATGACCTAAAACGACTGAGGGCTGCATGATGGGTTGGAGTTTATATATCCTATGGGTCCTTTAACATCACAACTTGTCATTTGTAGTTGAGGGGATCTCACCATTACCATGTGCCGTGCTCTGTGGCAAATTGTTTGACAGTTACGATAAAGACATAAAGATATTTATTAAAAAACATTCCTGGAAAAATTTTCTTGCTTAAATTCTTCCAGTGTTTAGATTGTTTTCCTTTTAAGATACATTTTTAAACACTTAAAATATGACTTCTCATTGGGATTTTATTAAACATTTATTATATACTGCTGTACAAACTTTGCCAGATAGAATACACTGGAATCAAATCGACTACATCTGTGGAAAGAGACAATGGAGGAGCTCAATATCATCAGTCAGAACAGATCATCGGTTGCTTATATGCAAGTTCATGTTGAAGCTGAAGGAAATTAAAACAAGTCCATGAGAGTCAAAGTATGACCTTGAATACATCCTGCCTGAATTTAGAGACCATCTCAAGAATAAATTCGATGCACTGAGCACTGATAATCAGACACCAGAAGAGTTGTGCATGACATCAAAGACACCATACATAAAGAAAGCAAAAGGTCATTAAAAACACAGGTTGTCAAAGAGACTGAAACATGCCCTTGAGCACAGAGTAGCTAAAACGAAGGGAAGAAATGATGAAGTAAAAGAGCTGAACAGAAAATTTTAAAAGGGAGGCATGAGAGGACAAGGTAAAGTATAATAATAAAATGTGAAAAGATCTGGAGTCAGAAAACCAAAATGGAAGAACACGCTTGGCATTTCTCAAGCTGAAAGAACTGAAGAAAAAATTCAAGCCTTATGTTGCAATATTGAAGGATTCTACGGGCAGAGTATTGAGTGACACAGGAAGCATCAAAAGAAGATGGAAGGAATACCAGAGTCACTATACCAAAAAGGAATACACAGAGTCCCTCTACCCCAAAGAATCGGTCAGTGTTCAGCCATTTCAGGAGGTATCATATGATCAAGAACTGATGGTACTGAAGGAAGAAGTCCAGGCTGCACTGAAGACATTGTTGAGAAACAAGGCTTCAGGAATTGGCAAAATACCCATTGAGATGCTTCAACAAACAGATGCAACACTGGAAGCACGCCCCTACTTGTCTGTGCCAAGAAATTTGGAAGACAGCTACCTGCCAGCCAACTGGAGGAGATCCATATTTGTGCTCATTCCAAAGAAAGGTGATCCAGTAGAATGTGGAAATTGTTGAACAATATCATTAATGTCATATGCAAGCAAAATTTTGCTGAAGACAGTTCAGAAACGGACAGGAAACTGTCAGAAATTCAAGCCAGATTCATAAGAGGATGTGGAATGACGGATATCATTGCTGATGTCAGATGGGTCTTGGTTGAAAGCAGAGAATACCAGAAAGATGTTTACTTGTGTTTTACTGACTACACAAAGGCATTGGACTGTGTGGATCATAACAAATTGTGGATAACATTGCAAAGAATAGGAATTCCAGAAGACTTAATTGTGCTCACGTGGAACTTGTTGATAAATCAAGAAGCAGTCGTTGGAAGAGAACGAGGGTGTACTGCCTGTTTTAAAATCAGGAAGAGTGTGCATCAAGGTTGTGTCCTTTCACCATACTTATTCAATCTGTATGCTGAGCAAATAATCTGAGAAGCTGGACTATAAGAATAATACAGCATCAGGATTGGAGGAAGACTAACAACCTGTGATATACAGATGACACAGCCTTGCTTGCTGAAGTGAAAAGGATTTGAAGCACTTACTGATGAAAATCTAAGACTACAACCTTTAGTAAGGATTACACCTCAACATAAAGGAAACAGTCCTTACAGTTGGACCAATAAATAGCATTGTGATAAATGGCAAAGAAATTGAAGTCAAAAATTTCATTTTACTTGGATCCACTATCAACGGCTGTGAAAGCAGCAGTCAAGAAACCAAATGACAAATTACACTGGGCAAATCTGCTGCGAAAGATCTCTTTAAAGTATTAAAAAGCAAAGATGTCACTTTGAGGACTAAGATATGCCTGACCCAAGCCATGGTATTTTCAATCCCCTCATCTGCATGTGAAAGCTGGACAGTGCAAGTGAAAGACCAAAGAATTAACACATTCACATTGTGGTGTTAGCAAAGATATTGTGTATACCATGGACTGTAGTAAGAACAAACAAATCTGTCTTGGAAGAAGTACAGCAAGAATGCTCCTTAGAAATGATGATGGCTGACGATGGCGAGATTTCGTCTCATGTACTTTGGACATATTATCAGGAAGAACTAATCCCTTGAGGACATCATGCTTGATAAAGTAGCAGGTCAGTGAAAAAGAGGAAGACCCTCTGTGAGATGGATTGACACAGTGGCTGCAACAGTGGTCTCAAACATAGCAATGACTGTGAGGATGGCGCAGGACCATGTTTCACTCTGTTATTCATAGGGACGCTATGAGTCAGAGCCATCTCGATGGCACTTAACAACAATGTACAAACATAAAATGTGATAATTGGCTGCTTTTATAATTTATGTTGAAGGTACTACATCAACTTGAACAAGTCAGATACTGAGCCGATATTTTTTTCTAGGACTAGTGATGAGTCTTTGCGGAGTAAGTAGCTAAAACTCTTTCCTAGTCCATTTGTAAGTAATAGCATTTATTTGTGAAATACCAAGTTGGGGTTAGAATTAGAATCTATATTTCATTACCATTATGGAATAGGATTGAGCTAACTCGTTGGAACAGTAATCAAAACATGGTTTTATTAATACAATGCTTTACTCAAACAACTGAACCTATCTTAGACATGTCTTTTGAGAGCCAATGATAAGTACAGATTGGAGTGGTAACCCTGGAAGCTATCAGACCTCAAATCTAACATGCAGAGTTACTCGGCCATGTTTGGGCATCTCACTTGCATTGGAATATGTATCTTGAACAGAAAATATATTTAATCCCATTTGTATTATTTTATAGTAAATATCTAAATGGAAGTAATTCAATTGCCTTCACAAAAAGTGATTGTAAAGTGATTGTATAGCTCTCTGGCAATTATTGTTTTAAAACAAAGTTGTGACGAAAAGGTCATCCATTTTTAGGATTAAGCTGTTCTATTCCTCTTTTCTTTCTAAATAGTTAACACAGATTATGCGAACTGGACAAAACACTTGGGAAAGTAAAAATATTCTTGCTGTTTCATTTGCTCCACTTGTGCAGCCAAGTAAGAATGATAATGGCAAACCACATTCGGTGGGACTCCGTAAGTAGTTATGGGTTCTTTCTGATTGAACTGTGCGACACGTAGTGTTCAACTCCTATGCTTGAGATTTGATGCCTTATATAATTATGAAGAAGTAAATAAATATGCAGTAATATAGTCGGTGTGTTTACTCAGCTTTTTTTTTTTTTTTGAATAGCCCTTACCTTATACCAGACACTGTTGGCTACCTTCATGTGATCATGAAAATAACAGGCAGATCAAAATAAAAAGGAATTTATTCATTACAGTTTATGATTTGATAGTCTTTGGTCATGGGAAAATGTATCTACTTTAGATTTGGTGGTAAGGAAGGCCATCCTGCTGAGGTATCATTCAGATTACTACCAGAATGATATGAAAGAGCAAGCCATGTCAAGATTGAATGGGAGAGTTTTCTGTTAAGAGGAATGGCCAATGCAGAAGTCTTTAGGCTGAAAAGAGCTTGGTCATTCCAAGACCAGGAATTAATGTCCTGGTGGTTGAAGCTCATTAGCTGGGTTGTGGAGGATGGATTATCATGGGGCAAAAGGGGAGTTAGGGATGCCAGTTAGCAGGTTTTTTTTTTTCAAATAGTCAAGGAGAGAGTTGATGTTGGTGTGGATAGAGTTGTTTGAAGGCAGACAAGTTCGGCATATGGGTATAAGTTAGAACAGAGCTAGCTGGTTGGTAGATGGAGTGTGGGAGGGTAGAGGTGAGGAACAAGAGGAATGAAAAGTTTTGCCTTGAGCAGCTGACTGAGTGATGGTACCACTTACTGCTATTTAAAAGACTGGGTTTGGAATAGTTTGGAAATAAAAAACCAAAAAAATCTAACCCATTGCCGTCCAGTCAATTCCGACTCATAGCGACCCTATAGGATAGAGTAGAACTGCCCAATAGGGTTTCTAAGGATCGGCTGGTGTATTCGAACTGCAGACCTTTGGTTAGCAGATGAGCTCTTAACCGCTATACCACCAGGCTCCAGTTTGGAAATAACCATTGCCATCGAGTTGATTGCGACTCGTAGCAACTCTATAAGACAGAGTAGGACTGCCCCATAGGGTTCCCAAGGAGTGGCTGGTGGATTCAAACTGCACTCCTTTTGGTTAGCAGATGACCTGTTAACCACTGCACCACTAGGGCTCCGGTTTGGAAATAGGTTTAGGGAAATCAGATATTTATTTTGACCACGTTTGAGTTGACAATTAGCATGCAAATGTCAGGTATAGGTAGTCAAGTGGATAAACCTACTGCACATAGGAGATATAAATTGAGCATCTTCAATGTAAAGATGTGTTTTAAGCTATGAAAAGGGATGAGATCACTTAGAGGGAAAGTGGAGATAGAGAAGAGACATTAAATTAGGCCTGCAGTCCACCATAGGAATTAGACGGATTAGCAAAGAAAACTGAGGAGGAGAGCCGGAGGGATGAGAGGAAACCAGCATGCATGGTGTGTTGAAAGCCAAAACAAAAAAGTGTTTCAAGAAGGAGAGAGCAGTCAACTTACTGGGAGCTACAGACACATTGAGAAAGAAGAGAAGGGAATAGTAATTGATTTGGCATATCTAATGGTTCTGGTAACCATTAAGTAAAGTTCTTTACCAAAAAATGAACTTTACCATAGTAGACCTCTTGCCTTAGTTTGCTGTTTACATGTCTCCCTCCCACCCTCAGAGGATTTTAAGGAGCCCTGGTGGCACAGTGGTTAAGGGCTCTGCTGCTAACCAAAAGGTCGGCAGTTTGAACCCACCAGCTGCTTTGCAGGAGAAAGATGTGGCAGTCTGCTTCCATAAAGATTTACAGCCTTGGAAACCCTATGGGGCAGGCAGTTTTCCTCTGTGCTATAGGGTTGCTTTGAGTTGGAATCAACTCAACAGCAATGGGTTTGGGTCTTTTTTTTTTTTTTTTGGTATTAAGGATTTTGGGAGGATCAGTAAATTATAACCATTTTCCCCCTATTCAAATTCTTATCAGTACGGGGGTCAGATAGCTAGGGATTGAAATGTCATGTTTATTACCAAAGTAGGTTGGAGAATAGGGCTTAGATCTGCACCCTTGAATTAGACAGACTTACCCCCATCAGTTACAGGCAATACTGGCCAGTCCTATGCCCCTGCCATGGTAGCTTACCCTGTTCTAAATGGATGAGCAGGGGCCAGCATGCTTCTAAGTAGGCAGATCCCAGTGGGAAGAAGGAAAGGTCAGAGCCACTTCTGGCCAGCTTCTTAATGACAAACTCACACTCTATATCAGCCACTCTTCCTGCCTTTGGAAGGAGTGAGTTACATGGTATGGAGAGGCCAGGAGTGTTGATGGCATGAAGGGCTCCCCACGTGGACCCAGGGGAGGGTTAAGAGCGATGTTTTCCCCCAGGAGCTGCCATCTGAGGAGACTGCTGACGTTTCTTCATGGGTTTATATGAGTCATCAAATTCTGACAAAGTGCTCTTCTTTACATTTCATTTAGAAATAAATTAGGTATTCAGTTCTAAAAATTCTGGACCTTTCATAATTCAGAAAATGTTATTGATCTTTTTTTTCCCCCAAATATGCTTGCTGCCAATACGATGGTAAGTCAAAAAGCATTGCTACTAGGGTTCCAGTTCATATGTGCACAGTTTTATTCCAAACGAAACCAAAACACATTTAAACATGTCTCTGTGATCAGTGGATGACTGCAGACAAGTCCTCTCAGTAATATACTTGTCTTCGTCTCATTAGGATGCCTTCAAAAAACAAAAACATGCTTTTTGTGCCATGGAAAAAAACAATTTTGAGATCAGGGCTAATAGTAAGTTTTTTAACAAAACTCAAGTGGCCATCTTCCCAAATCATTGAAGCTTTGCAACAAGTTTATGGGAATGCTGCTGCACATTAAAAAAAAAAAAAAAGTTTTTAGATGTATCAAGCATTTTAAGGAAGGTCAAGAAGACCCTGAAAACTGAGCCAGGAGAGGGAAGACTGCTGAGAAGGTTATGGCGACTGTTTTTTGGGATTCCAAAGGGATAATCTTTTTTTTTTATTGTGCTTTAAGTGAAAATTTACAATTCAAGTTAGTTTCTCATACAAAAATTTATACACACGTTGTTATGTGGCCGTAGTTGCTCTCCCTATACTGTGACAGCACACTCCTCCTTTCCACCCTGGATTTCCCATGTCCATTCAAACAGCTCCTGACCCTCTCTGCCTTCTCATCTCACATCCGGACAGGAGCTGCCCATTTAGTCCCATGTACCTACTTGAGCTAAGAAGCACACTCTTCACAAGTATCATTTTTATGTCCTATACTCCAATCCAATCTTTGTTTGAAGAGTTGGCCTCTGGAATGGTTTTAGTTGTGGGCTAACAGAGAGTCTGGGGGCCATGTCTTCCAGAGTCCCTCCAGTCTCAGTCAAACCATTAAGTCTGTCTTTTTCCTAGAATTTGAGTTCTGCACCCCACTTTTCTCCTCCTATGTCAGGCACTCTCCATTGTGTTCCCTGTCAGGACGGTCATTGGTGGTAGCCAGGCACCATCTAGTTCTTTTGTTCTCAGGCTGATGGAGTTTCTCATTTATGTGGCCCTTTCTGTTTCTTGGGCTAATATTTTCCTTGTGTCTTTGGTGTTCTTCATTCTCCTTTACTCCAGGTGGGGTGGGACCAATTGATCCATCTTACATGGCCACTTGCTAGCTTTTAAGACCTCAGATGTCACTCACCAAAGTGGGACGCAGAACATTTTCTTAATAAACTTTGTTATGCCAGTTGACCTAGATGTCCCCTGAAACCATGGTCCACAGACCCACGTTCCTGCTGCTGTGTCCCTTGAAGTCTTTGGTTGTATTCAGGAAAATTCTTAGCTTTGGTTTAGTCCAGTTGTGCTGACTTCCCACGTAGTGTGTGTTGTTCTTCCCTTCACGTAAGATAATTCTTATCTACTATCTAGTTAGTGAATACCCCTCTCCCTCCCTCTCCACCCTCGCAACCATCAAAGAATGTTTTCTTCTGTGTTTAAACCTTTTCTTGAGTTCTTATAGTAGTGGTCTTATACAGTATTTGTCCTTTTCCAGCTGACTGAATTCACTCAGCATAATGCCTTCCAGATTCCTCCTTGTTATATAAGATGTTTCACGGATTCATTGTTCTTTATCATTGTGTAGTATTTCATTGTGTGAATATACCATAATTTATTTATTCATTCATCCATTGATGGGCACCTAGGTTGTTTCCATCTTTTTGCTATTGTGAACAGTGCTGCAGCGAACATGGGTGTGCATGTATCTATTCGTGTGACGGCTCTTACTTCTCTAGGATATATTCCAAGGAGTGAGATTCCTGGATCTTATGGTACTTCTGTTTCTAGCTTTTTAAAGAAGCACCAAATCGATTTCCAAAGTGGTTGTACCATTTTACATTCCCACCAACAGTGTATAAGTGTTCCAGTCTCTCCACAACCTCTCCAACATTTATTATTCTGTGTTTTTTGGATTAATGCTAGCCTTGTTGGGGTGAGATGGTATCTCATTGTAGTTTTGATTTACATTTCTCTAATGGCTGATGATCCTGAGCATTTCCTCATGTGTCTGTTAGCCATCTGAATGTCTTCTTTGGTGAAGTGCCTGTTCATATCCTTTGCTCATTTTTTAATTCAGTTATTTGTCTTTTCATTGTTGAGGTTTTGCAGTATCTTGTAGATTTCAGAGATTAGATGCTGATTGGATTTGTCTTAGCCAAAATTTTTTTCCCAATCTGTAGGTTGTCTTTTTACTCTTTCGGTGAAGTCTTTTGATGAGCGTTTAAGTGTTTGATTTTTAGGAGCTCCCAGTTATCTTAATTTCTCTTCCAGTGTTTGTGCATTGTTAGTTATGTTTTGTGTTAGGGTTCCTAGTGTTGTCCCTATTTTTTCTTCCATGATCTTTATCATTTTCAATTTTATATTTAAGTCTTTGATCCATTTGAGTTAGTTTTTGTACATGGTGTTAGATATGGGTCTTATTTCAGTTTTTTGCAGGTGGATATCCAGTTATGCCAGCACCATTTGT